CTGATTTCTCTTCTTTAAACTGGAACTATGATAGCTTAGTGGGGTTGTTTCTCTGAAATAAAGAATGGGGAACCAGCCAAAACCGGTTTGGCTCAATGGATAGAGCGTCGGCTTGGGGACTGAAAGGTCCCAGGTTCGATTCCGATCAAGGGCATGTACCTTGGTTGCGGGCATATCCCCAGTAGGGGGTGTGCAAGAGGCAGCTGATCGATGACTCTCTCTCATCGATGTTTCTAACTCTCTCTCTCTCTCTCCCTTCCTCTCTGTACAAAATCAATAAAATATATTCTTTTAAAAGAATGGGGAAATAGCCTGAGACTGAGTCACCATGACTCCTCCAGTTTTGGGGAGCCTTTCTGGAGTCATAAAGTTGTTGGGGAACCTCACTAAAGAATGATCTAGGGCAGTGTTTCCGAAAGAGTGGTACGCGTACCCCCAGGGGTACGGGAAGAGTTTGGTGGGGGTACGCGTTGCACCGGAGTTTGGTGGGGATATGCACTGCACCGTGCTTAGCTGCGCCTAATTCTATGTTCTCATGAGTACGAGGGGTACTCGGCGTTACGAAAATTATAGAAGGGGTACACATATGTCAAAAGTTTGGGAAACACTGATCTAGGGAATTCCTCCTCCCACCCTTCACTCCCATCTTTACTCCACAAGAAGGCTACCAGGCAAAGCACAGCCTGTCTGTTTAACCACCCCTAAGGTCAGGAGGGGACCAGGCCAAGTACAGGTAGATCCTAGCAACCTCTCAGGAAATGGCTGACACCCATCTGCTCCCCAGCATTAGGGAAGTTGATGGAGTGAGAGCTCAGGCACTCCTCCAGCCAAACCATAAACACTAAGGAAGAGAAAGCCAATGTCATCTAATTTCCCCAACTGAAGGAGCACAGTTAGTCTGACCGCCTCACTGAAGGCTGTCCATAGGAGAGTGACCAGGATGGGAGAGGTCTAGAAGCAATAATAATGACGACGACGATGACAACAACAACAACCAGCTGATATCTGAGGGCACCTACTCTTCTGAGCACTGTTTAGTGTGTCCCCAGGACTCCCCAGGAAAAGGAGGTCAAGAAAAACAAATTCTGTGAAGAAACGGGAGAGAGAGGAGAAAGGAGCAAAGCAAAGGCCAGCTCTCCCATCCTCACCTGCAGATGGGATAGTCCAAACAGTATTGATTGAAACCAAAGACGAAAAGGAATCAGCCCAGCTCAACTCACTGCTCCTCCCTGGCACCGGGCTGCTCAGACCTTAGCCACATACAGAAGGACCACAATGCTGGTCTGCTGCAGGGGGACCCAGAGTATAAACTAGAGCCAGCCTGGAGCAAATTACAGGTGTGGCTCCACCTCAGACTGGCCTTTTAACCTGTAAGACAGCAAAAGCAACTTCTAAAGCCCTGACCCTAAGACCCCAGGCTCCACTGCAGCCTCAGTTCCAGATCAAATGGGGCACCCCAAGGGTACTGTGTCACCATTTGCCCACACACCCAGCTAAAGGCCCTGACTTAAGATATTCCCTACCACCCTAACTAGTTTGGCTCAGTGGATAGAGTGTCGGCCTGCAGACTGAAGGCCTGGAGACTAAAAGGTCCCAGGTTCGATTCTGGTCAAGGGCATGTACCTTGGTTGCGGGCACATCCCCCATAGGAGGTGTGCAGGAGGCAGCTGATAGATGTTTCTCTCACATCGATGTTTCTGACTATCTCTCTCCCTTCCTCTCTGTAAAAAAATCAATAAAATATATCTTTTAAAAAAGATATTCCCTACCAAGACTAGTTTCTTAAACTCATTGTCCTAAGTGCCATATATAGGTTAATGGAGTCTAAAAGGAGGGTTGCAGCCAAGACCGGTTTGGCTCAATGGATAAAGCGTCGGCTTGGGGACTGAAGGGTCCCGGGTTCGATTCCGGTCAAGGGCATGTACCTTGGTTGCGGGCATATCCCCAGTAGGGGGTGTGCAAGAGGCAGCTGATCGATGACTCTCTCTCATCAATGTTTCTAACTCTCTATCTCTCTCCCTTCCTCTCTGTACAAAATCAATAAAATATATATTTAAAAAATAAATAAATAAAAATAAAAGGAGGGTTGCAGACTGAGAGCGGGTCTAACCAGAGGTTCATGTTTGCATACATGCATGTTTCACACATGTAGGTGCCTGTTGCCTCTATGTCCTTGCCTGCAGTTGTACACATTGGAAGTACATCAATGTTTGCATGGATGTCCTGAGAGGAACTGCGAGACTACAGTGTGTGGGCAGGAATGTCTGTACACAGGAGCAGCTGTGCGTGTGGGTGTGGGTGCCCTGTGAGTGTGTGCGGGCAGGCATGGCTGTGTCTGCTCATCCCCTCTCCGTTTCCTCCTGCCTCTTCTGGTGTGACAGTGGTCCCTCCAAGCTGTCTCCCCCATCCCAGCCAGCCAGCCGAAATCACTGTAGTGTTGGGTGAAGGCTCTGAGCTCCTGCCCTGCTTAGTCCTGAGAAACCAAAGCCAGATGACCCACAGAAAAGACACCTCAGGTAGGGACAAGTCAGGTCACCCTAGAAAGTCTGAGTTCAGATAACACTCCTTACCCCTGGCTCCTGCCAGCACCGGCACACACACACACACACACACACACACACACACACACTTCTCCATCACTCAGGCCACAGGGAGCCTACCTCCCATATCCCTGAGTGCACTTCCATGGTCCACACATGGCTGCCGGCCACAGACACGGGCCACCTGTGGGCACCCTCCAGTCCCCTACATGCCAGTCCCCCCCCCCACACACACACACACACACACGGACAACTAGACACCCACACTCACACTCTGGGACAAGGCTAGAAAGATCCACGTGCTACCACCGTGGTAGCCCACACACACACTCCTGCCCACTGGCACTCACACGGACACACTTAGACCTACTGTCCAAACAGTCGCACACGTGCTCTGTCCCCAGCTCTGCTGATGGGTCCTGAATCCAGCCAGCAGAGCGTCTACTTACTCAGGTGAACTTGGCGGGCCAGCGGGGTGCGCACAGCGGCCAGCGGTGGCGGCGCAGCTGGGGCTCCAGAGGCCGCGCAAGTGTCTGCGCTGGGCCGGCCCAGCCCCCGGCCACCAGCCGCCCCGCGCCCCCGCCCGCCCCACGCCTCCCCGGGCCGCTGCAGGACCTTCCACAACAGCGAGCTCCCGGCCAAGCCTCCGATTTCTAGAGTCCCAGCCCCGCTGCTGCGAGGCTATTTTAGTGCCCCCGGCAGTGGAGACGTCGCTCCGGGCCCCTCGGTGGAAAGCACTGGAATGGGGAGGCGGTCATGTCTAATTAGAGACCTAGCTCACCCCGGGCTGGGCGGGAGTCCCCGCGGGTAAGTGCCCAGGAGCCTCAGAGCCGGCCGGCCGGCCGGGCGGGGGTGCCCACAGGCGCCCCTCAAGCCAACATCTGGAGAAGGGAGGGAATGCGCCCTGATTGTTTCCCTTGGAGCCGGAACAAAATAAGGAGGGGTGTGGGTGCGGTTCACAGGCTCCGCGGAGGAGCCTCCAAACTTTGAGCCAGTCCCCAGTGCCTGGAAGGCGGCTGGGCTTATTCACCACAGGTGCTTCCCTTTGGAGCCTGAGTCCCACAGAAGATCACTGGCCTCCAGATCACAGTCTTGACTCCTTCTAACTTGGGGCTCATCAAACTTCTCCTCCGGACCGCTTGTGTCAGATGTCTGATTCCTACCCAAAAGCTCAGGAATGTTGCATTCTTGAACTGGAAAGAAGCTTCAAGGTCACTCCATCCAACTCCCTCCAACCTGCCAAGAATGGGGGGAGGAGGACGTTGGGGGGGAAGGGTGTGGAATGTTTACCCACCGTTAGGCACAACCAAGGAGAGGCAGCCCCTAGCCTCCCTTGGGCCTTCTTCCCAAATTTGAACCCTCTCATTGGAAGGAAGTTCACTTGGCAGCTAACTTAAATCCCTGGTGTGCAAACCACGTCCATGTGTCCCCACTATGTGTCCAGGCAGAGGAAGGCTGGCTCCATCTCCATAACACAGTGACCACTCCAAGGTCCCATCTCAGTCTTCTGTTCTCTACAGGCCCTGGCTAACAATGGTCATTCGTTCCTGTCCTGGGCACAATGCAGCTCCTGATATTAACTCAACAGCCTCAGCTCTGGGACCCCAAGCTCTGTGGGTGCCCAAGTCATTTTTCCCACCCCCAGGGACAAGCCAGCTTTGACCCTGGCCTCCAACCATTTGTGGACAGCCTGATTCTACACTACCCCACTCAAGTTTCCTGAGAGTAGCTTTGGCTCCTATCTCAACAAAGACTGTCTCAGAGCCTGGGACAGAGATTGGGCCCCAGCCCCCCACATGGCCGGGCATAAACACTGGAGTTTGCAAAATCTTGTCCCTGAGTCCCCTTCTGGTAGGTCAGATAGTGTAATAAAAGTAGTCTGGGCTTTGTCCTCAAAGAGACCTGACTTTGCATTCTGCCTCTACTACTTTCTAGCTGTGTGTCCTTGGACAAGTCACTTAACCTCTCTGAGGTTCAGTTTTCCCATAGCTACATTGGTGATCATAATAGCTCATGGATAGTTGAGAGTATGGGATAAGATCAGGAATGTAAATTTGCCTAGAAAGCTAAGATATTTTTAGTGTGCTAGAAGTGGAACGAGGTTTAGATCATAAACAGGATAAATATTAGCCAAAAAAAAAAAAAAAGCCTAAGATGTCTTTTATTTCCAGGACCAAATTCTGTGCCTGGGTTTCAGGGCAAGAGAAAAACAGACTTGGTTTGCTAGATGTTCCCTTAGGATAAGAAAAATCCAAAAGATTTTAAAAAAATCTTTCCAAAAATCGGGACTTTAAAACGCCGCGGGACGCGGGACAAATTGTTAAAAATTGGGACTGTCCCGCCAAAAGCGGGACGTCTGGTCACCTTACCTTAGGACCCTTGATATGAATGTTCCCCACCTGCATCCCACAACATGCGCGTGCACACAGACACACCACATCCACTTTCCCAGATACGTACTGCACAGCCCAGCCTCCTTGTCTCCTGCTGGCCCCATAGGCCCCAGCTGCCTATACCCTCTTCGCTGGCCGCCTCTCCGTTCTCTGGAGGCCGCCTCATGGCTCCAGTCTTGGCCGCAGCAACTCCAGGTTTCCCTAACAAGGCCCATGCGGGCAGCTCCTCTCTCCTTGCCCATCCTCCTGGGCCATGGCCCCAGCAAGGCCTGAAACTCAAAGCAAAGGCAGCAGAGGCCTTCTCTGAGGCAGTCCCAAACTGAGGCTGCTGGAGGACGCTCAGAATTGGAGCATCACCCCCCTCCATCCCCCTTCTCTCCGCCTGCCTGGCTTCATAGTGCTGTCCTGCTTAATTCTTAATGGAAATTCCATCCCCGGCGCCAGCCCTGGCTGGCTCCCGGAATCCAGGCTTCGGCCAACAACAAACTCCACCCAGAGACAGGAGGCCTGCCTGGTCATATAAACACAGATACACACATATATACACATACGTACATACACACACAAGACATTTACAAACTCAGAGATTCTTGCCCAGACACATCATACACAGAAAGATAATAAGCACTATGATCACGAATGGTTATTGCAAGGTAGTAAATACAAATAGCAACTTCCCTAATCCTCACAACACTAGGTTCTGGTATTAACTTCAATTTACACATCAGGAAACTGATGCATGAAGAGGCTAAGTTAACTTGCATGAGGCATCTATAATAATAAAATTATAATACGCTAATTAGACTAGACAGTTGAACGAACTTCCAGACATCATTTTGGACATTCTTCTAGACAAAGCCACAGTGGCAGGGGCTGAGGTAGAAGCGGTTAGGGGTGATCAGGCAGGCAGGCAGAGTGGTTAGGGGCAATTAGGCAGGCAGGCAGAGGCAGTTAGGGGTGATCAGGGAGGCAGGTGAGCAGTTAGGGGCGATCAGGCAGGCAGGCAAGTCTTTAAGGGTGATCAGGCAGGCAAGTGGTTAGGGTTGATCAGGCAGGCAGGCAGAGGAGTTAGGGGCGATCAGGCAGGCAAGTGGTTAGGGTTGATCAGGCAGGCAGGCAGAGGAGTTAGGGGCAATCAGGTAGGCAGGCAGGCAAACAGGTAGGAGCCAGCGGTCCTGGATTGTGAGAGGGTGCAGGCCAGACTAAGGGACCCCTCCCACTCCACTCCCATGCACAAATGTTATACGTACACCAGGCCTCTAGTTATTAATAACTAACTATAACATTCACTAATGACTGATTACTATAATCGTGTTGCATTCATTTCCCTTACAGGCCTTACACGCAGGCGCACCATTTCTCTCCACTAATACTAGCAGCGAACATTTAGCAGCCAATTGCCACATCATTAGTCTTGGACTGACTTGTTTGGTGTGTGCAACAGGAAATACTTCGTTTTTGGAGAACAAGAAAAATAGGTTTATTTGCATTATGCTTATTAATGTGTGCAGTTATTTAGTGTCTGGTAAGATAATGTTCAAGAAAAAATATTAATTTTTTATTAAAATGTTCTATGATTTTATGTTAACAATGACTTATTTGTCTCATCCCTTTGTATTCAGCATGTCTCTATCGAAATAAGCCTACGATTCTATGAAAATTGAAGCTTTTGTGTGTGTTTTTGTGGTCCACATAAACTTAAACCTTGTTTATTTGTCCCGTGTTAGCCATTGAGTATGACATGCTTGATGTAGGGGGCTCCTCAGAGACTCTGGGCACTGTCCAGGAGCTGGCCAAGGAGGGTTCTGGCCTCCAGGACCAGATGAGGCTGGACAGGGCTGAGGAATAAAGCACGGCATGAAAGCCCAAACTTCTAGTAATATAGAGCATGTGCTGCCTAAGAAAGCTGGAGCCACAATGCAGAGATGGCAAGACTCTGATGGGAGGCAGAGTGGCTGGGAAGATGGGCTATGATGGAGGATAAACAGCAAAATCCAGAGCCAGGAACGCTAAGAGAACTGCAGGAGAAGAGAGAGGAGTTAGCAGTCCAGGAACTTATCCACTGCTTGAAGTTTCCACGCTAAGCAGGACATCTCCAAGCAGAGGCTGTGATGGCCCTGGGCCTCCTCACAAGCATCCCCACTAGAGAACATCTGGAAAGACCTGTCCTACCCAGAGCAGTCACTTTTGTCTCCTGTGGTTTCTCACCTTCATCCCTATCCCAGAACCCCCATCACTTCTACTGTAGTAGCCCATCCACTCTGTGGCCTAAGGACAGCTCAGCATGGCAATCCTGTGGGGCATTTGGACTGAGAAATGGTTTCTTGAGTGGGAATTGCTTGACCCCCACAAATGGACCTGGAATCCTGTTGTCAGACAATGGCTCTAAGAGAGGGGACATTCTGAGTCTGAGAATTTGCATTTCTAAAACGTTCCCAGATGGTGCAGATGCTACTGGTCTGGGGGTCACATTTTGGGAACCACCACTTTAGAGCACAGGAGGAAGTCAGAGATTATTCCAGCCCAATACTAATTGGTTTCTTCTGAAAGGTCCCTAAAGGAAGATTTTAGTCCTGCCAGTAGTTTGTACTTTCCCCTCCATCTTTCCAGGTTCTGGCTCCACCCTGCTGGGTATTGATGGGTCTCTCATGGGCTCTGTGATGGCTCTCTCTGACTCAGCAGATCTAAGTCAAGTAAAGAGAAGGTGTCCACTCTGTCCCCACCCGCTCAGAAAAGGTCATCAAGATGAGAAACCTGCACAAAAATATCTGATGACCTGGCAGGCTCTCTGACCTGGGGATGGAGATTTCAGATGAGAAGTTCATGAAGATGGCAGCCGAAAGGCCAGCCCACCCAGGGAGATGAGAGATGGATCAGGATCCCAGTGCTCACAGTGGCAACCCCAGGTCCGACAGTCCCCTCCTGCATCACTGAGATGCTGCTGCCCCACCTCCAGGAGCAATGGTAGGTCTGGACACTCACAGGGGACCGGCTGAGGTGGATATGGCCCCAGGGTACCAGGCAGGCTGGAGCAGATACACCATTGCCTCACTTGGGCCCATCCATCTCTCCAGGCCTTCAAAGCATGCATTGCTATCAAAAGAGAAAATTTTCCCCAACCCCCAGAGCTGATATGAGAATTTACAATATATTTAGAGTGAGGCAATGTGGGATGGAAAAGCCCTCAGAGATCTCTGGGTGTAGGGTTCAAAAATTTTATTCTCCACCAGGATCACCTGGGGTGAAATGCAGAGTCCCAGGCCCTCTGTGAGGTTCTGAGTCCGCAGGCAGGTGGTGAGCTGGGGGGACCTGGTGCACCTCTCTTCCAAGCTCCTTATTCAGTGGCTCCACTTGACTAGTGAAGTTGGCTACAGTGAGAGTATTTATTTACACCCTGGAAACTGGGCAAACGCTACAAAGCGGGCATTTTGTTTTGTTTTACTTTGTTTTAAAATACCAGTCATGGACCATTTAGCAGCACTGCGTGGAGCACATGGGCCTCTATTTTCTAGTATCCCAAGCTGTTAAGATGCAAGCCCGTTTTGAGAAAGGAAGAATCATCCAGTGGTGAGGCTCTAACCCCAAACCCTCATGTACAGGTAGAGAAATGGAGGTCCAGTGAGGGGAAGAATCTTAATCACGGTCATCCGAATAAGCTCCTTGTGGGCTCACAGCTGCTCTGTTCAAGGCGGTAGGGACTGGGACAGCCCCGCCTCTTTTCTGAACCCTCTCTGGAGTGCTTTCCATCACAAAACTGCATCCTCTCTACCACTCACTGCTGTGGCTTATTGGTTAAGTAAGGGAAGGGCTGGGAGGTCCTGCCCATTGTGGGTCAATCAGATCACCTCTCATCTGCACTTGGAATTCAAATAAGCTGGACCGGAGGTTAGTAGCGGACAGATCACCTGACTGTGGTGCCTGGACAGCCAGCATGTGAATTCCAGATATTGAAGGCTCCAGGTCTGCCCTGCCCTAACCAAGCCCTAACTGTTGAACTCTTCATTGGACTCAGAGAGATTCCCAAACCCCAACAAATCCCCTGCCTTACTTAAAGTAACAAGCTACTTCCCATTACAACCAAGACCACCGTCAGAAATGCAGTCATGGAGCAAGTTAGTAGAAATAAGAACTCAAGATTCCTTCACTGTTGTCCTGCCCCTTCATCCAGCCCTCAGACAGGATGAAAAGGAGTGTGTGCAAGTACCCAGTCTCCCAGGGCAGTGGTTTTCCAAGAATCACCCTGGTCCAGCAGCACTAGCAACCTCTGGGATTGTTTGGGAAATGCAAATTCTCAGGCCTTCCCCAGAACCACTGAACCAAAAACTCCCCAGCTAGGGTCCAGCAAGATGTGTGTTGTTTTCGTTTTCGTTTTTGTTTTAATCCTCATCCGAGGACATTTTTCCATTGATTTCTAGAGAGACACACATTGATTGGTTGCTTCCCATATGTGCCCCAACCAGGGCGGGGGAGTGAGCCTGCAACTGATGTTCATGGTGAGGACCCTTCAGTCCAAAAGCTGACACTCTGTCCACTGAGCCAAACCGGCTAGGGCCAGTGAGCTGTGTTTTAACAAGCCTTCGGGGTGATTTGGCGGCCTGCTGAACTCTGAGGACCACCGCTCTGGTGGGAGGAGCCAGAGCTTCTGCCTTCCTAACAACTAATCAAAGGCCATCCGGGTGCCAAGCCAGCACTGGCTGTGTAGCCAGTCACACTCCTTCCTGGCCAGCCTGCTTAGCCCCACACCCCTAAGGAAACCGGGGAGCCTGTGGCCATGCACCCGGAGCTAAGTCTGAGGGGCTACACCTTTCCAAACACACCCGGACAACCGCAGCAGACACCTGCCAGGGAACTGCTACTTCTGTCACTGCCCTGGCGTCTAATTGAGGGGGTGACTCGGTGGGCATTTCCTGCCCACGTGGGTTCTGGGGGACTTGCTCTGCTGGCCTGGAGATGGCATAAGGTGTCCTGGGAGGAAGCCTGCCAAGGGCCTGGCTCTAGAAGCCACTTTGGCCTCTCCACAGAATAATAATAAAAATAACTATGGCTACACTAACAGGTATTGCCTTTTTTCTGTACACCCGGTCTGTCACACTAAACATGTTCTGTCCCTTTCGTGAATCCTCATGACACTACCCCACTCCTGTCCCTGTATTCACGTGGCCTCCAACTCCACCTCTCCCCCTCCCCCATCCTATCTAAGCCAGTGCCTGGCCTCCTCCAGCAGCAGGTACACTTCTTCCCGTCCCAGGGGGACCTCTGCACCTGTGTCCTTGTGCACCTGAGGAACTTCTGGGGCTACACTCA